GAGGCTAATAGACAGTTAGTGTCTTCTATTGTGCATCATTGCCCCATTAGGACCCCGTCAGATCTGTACAACGGATATGCACACAAAACACTGCAACAAGACTAAAGTGCAGAAGTGGACAAACAATCAAAACCCGTGTTTGCAGCGGGTAAATGCGAGAAGAAAAAGAAGAAATGCAGTATATACAAGGAATGTCGGCCACAGTGCGCCCACTGTAGTCTTTGGTAACATTCCGTGGTGAGGTTCAAATGTGTTTGATTGTGCGATTCTTGTATCACTATCGGAATGCATGCGTGCGGGTTTTATTTTCAAAATAAACCAATCGGTGAGGAAAGCGAACCCTCGTACGTCGAGGATTATGAAATAGCCAAACGCATTCTTGGAGCACAGCTAGAAGAAATGAAGCCTTATTTCAGGTTTTCGAAAACAAGAGTTTTACGACAAATCTTTGGACCCATCAAAGATGCAAACAGCGATGAATGGAGAGTGAGAAGCAACAACGAAATTCATAATCTGTTTTAATCACCACTGATCACTGGCATCATGAGAGCTAATAGACTCAAATGGTACGGACCAATTGAAAGAATGTCAGATGACAGAGAAAAAAAAAACTGTATACACTAGACGTAGACCACGAGGCAGACCAAGAAGGCGATGGAGAGATAATATCAAGACAGACCTGCAATCACTTGAGAAGGCCAACCAGAGAGATGAATGGAGGCGGGTGATATCTGCAGCAATGAACCTCAAGGGCTCGGAATGCTGAAGAAGAAGAAGAAGAAGAAGAAACGCATTCATTAACTCCCAAGCCAGAGAGCTGCACAATTAGGCTACGACTACATACCCTGCACGCCGCAGGTATGGACAGTTGTTGTTTACCAGGACTGACTTTATACGATGTATCCAAAACTTTAATAAAGTGTGAAAATTGCTGAGTGTTGTTAAAAATGTTCTATGATTAGAGCTACATCCATGTTACCATGTGCAACCATAAAGACAATGACCCAAATATCTGCATGGTAGGTCAGGAGTCATCAACCTACTTTGATGCAAAATCTCACATGTGAAATAAGTCCTTTATACAGGTTGAGATAAATTACTGTAAATGGTGATTGTTTCTGAAATGTTAACTTTTCACACTGTTAAGTGAGTTCGTGGGTACTGTAATTAACAAGTACACTTATCTTATCTTTTCAGCTGATAAATTCTGGACAAGGTTCATTGATAACAAATAGGAATTAGTGTTCATTATGTTAACTGCTGATATTAACTACATACATGAGTTTTTTGTGTGTGTATGTTTCGCACCGGTATGCAGTACCTGTACCCATTTTAAAGCATCACCCCTCACCCCTTCCCTTCCCCCGGCAACTGTTTCAGACGCTTTGTGGTGAGTTGAAAGATTTAGTGCCTGTCCTTTACAGGACGTCGCAAAACCAACCCTAACATTTCTCGGCAGCCATTGACTTTACTAGGCAATATTACGTTTAGTATTCCTCTAAACCGACGGACCTCGTTACACCTGTTGAAATCAACGCATGACGGTCTGCTGCCAAATCATCCGTAGATGGAAAGTAAAAAGAAACCCCTGAATTTCAAAACGCGTGGGTAATGAACAGGCAGACAGATTGGCGGGATCTGCACCACTGGGTGGTGAATTGCTATACGAAGAGGCAGATGTGGTCAAGGCCCCTTGGAAACAAGCAACGGAATTATTAGAAAAGCAAGATTATTATGACCTGGAGAGAATAAGGCACTTGGGTGTAACCAGGGGTCTGGCCGGCTTACTACACTCAGAGGAAAGACAAGACGGACATATAATCAGATTGTGACCTGTACCATCAGTATTTGAACTCTGCGCTGGCTGCTGAAGATGAGAACGGAGCACGCTTGGGAATGCCCCGAGTGCTGGGATGTAAATTCTTGACTTAACTCAAATTAGCTCATTCAAAGCGCGTTCGCGATGCTTTAGACACAGACGTCGACGATTGCTGTGAGTTTTAAAAAGTGCCTGTACCTTTCTTAGATACTTTGTGGTGAGCTCCGACCCCTTTTTTCCCTTTTACTTCTGAAGGTGAAAAAGGCCCAACTAGATGTATTTTGGTCTCAGTGAGTGCCACCTTTAACTGTTCATAAATAGATAAGCTGTACATACGTGTAGCTAAGGATAATAGTAACACAATGAGGCACAAGCGGGATGTAGCAGATTGTCAATTCTGTTAGGGACAAAAAGCCAGCAATCTGGCACACATATCTCAGACGTAGTCAAACACTCAGCGCAAATAAACTAGACCACAAATATAACAGGAAGCGGCTAGCAACGGGTTGAACGTGGTCGAGTTTTAAAAAAAATGGTTTTGGACACTGGTGCAATAGAAATGTCGAAGGTATGTCAGGAAATAGTAAAGTAAAAAACCATTTTCCACGCCTTCAGGCGTATTGGATATGTAGGACTAGACCTACATTTTATAGACCGAACGACACTTGGTGGGTTTTGCATCACGCCGGCCGCCTTTACTTTCCAAGACTGTACCTGGTACTCACGGTTCCAAGACCACGCAGCCACCATCAGCTGTAGTAGTGGTAGTGGCAGCAGTAGTACTAGTAGTTTCTTTAAAAAATAATATCCTGATCGACCCTTAGGGTCGATCATTTAGTATCCATTATGCCCCATACCAGCACAACAAAGCTTCTTTTCTGTGAAAAGAGGGAAAAGTGCTGGTGCTCAAGTATGTTTGATCTCTGTTGTGCCTTGTCTAACGTCAAACAGTGTCAACCATCTCATTTATAATTGGAGATGATATTTCCAGTTGTTGGTGATGATTTCTGTTATTATTTGACACTTTGCGGCGTCCGTGGCTTAGGCGTTGCGAGTTTGACTCGTAATTCCAACGAACCTCGATCGAAACCCACTGCTGGCTGCGTGGATTTTTATCATGGTGCGACCCAGCCTAAAATGGGTACCTGTAAGTCCTGTGTAAGTAAAGACAGCCGACGTAATTCTGACCACATTATCCGCCTAGTGCCGATTGGGATGTAAATATAGAAAAGGGATATTTAGTTTACTTTATTTGACACTTTGATTTATGCAAATGATTTTTCTCTAAGTTCTTGTTGATAGTGCCTGGGATTTTTCTTGTTGTACTCCTTTTTTGAATCTCATACGTAAAAGGGGAAGGGGATGGTTTCTTGTCGCATATTCAAGGACAGCATCCCGCGAAAAATGTTGGAAATCACACGTCTTGGAAGAGGAGGAAGTCATTTACAGTGCATACGCAATATTTTACCTTACCACACCAAAGAGCTCTATACAGGGAAACAGCATTCAAGAAACGTTGCTCTTCTGTCAACAGAGCAACTTGTTATTGAAACGTCTAGGTTAGTTTTGTCCTGTTTTTATTATAAATCTAGGCCAAAACAAAAACATTTAATACTGTCTTTATTAATTTAAAACTAACAAATATTTAGTAAAATTTTCTGGTGTAAACCCTCTAATTCACACCAGTGAAAATACGAAGAAACACTGCAGCACACACTCACAATTCAATCAGGCCCATGAATTATAAATAACATCACAGACTTGGCTCACATTAATTTCTTTTTACAAACATGGCAGAGGGGGTGGTGTACCAAAAAAAAAAAAAAAAAAGACAATTCATAATGTAATATATTTCTAATCCCTTTAAAAGATCTGATAATATATTTTTGTTTAATACTGTATCAGTTATAGTTAGTAGGAGAAAAGAATTCAGCAGATTTTGTGTTTCCAAAGACAGCATTTTTAGTAAAAATTGTACTAAAAAAATCTTCACTTACCGTGATTTATGCAGCAACAAGATCAGTGAATATCCACATCTGAGAAAAACTCTTTAAAATTTGTTCAGTATCCTAACAAATTCTAAAGTAATGATATAAGTGGCTATCCTCTGAATAACAGTCCTAAATTATCGAGGCTAAGAAAATACCCTAACAGGACCTCAATCATATGTAAATCGCGGACTTATTTCCGGTAAATATATTGCATACCGCGAGAAACACTTCTCTGAATAACGGTCTTAAATAATCGAGAGTGTCAACAGTCCGACGTTGAGTGCTAGTTTTAGCTTCTCCGCCTGGGTCCTAGGTTTAAAGTATTAACTTTGTACAGTTATATACAGACTGTAGCTGCAATGATTTCTCTGCAGCTGCTTAGCCATAGTATGGTACTGTCTGAAACAGTCCTTTTGATGCAAATGTGGGGGACTATCACGTCCTTCACAAATAAAATGGGTCCTCTTGGGTTTACCTCATAAGAACCAACAGCTGACTGCTCAGCTGCCACTAGTGTAAATTCATGGTCTGAATAACTTTATGATAAATGTTCATTTTCATTATCAGAATTAAAAACATCCTTCTGAAACAATTACAGAGCTTCAGCGGCTGAAAGGCGCATTTTGCGGCCTGTACTTGCAGTTGGGACATTAGTATCCATAGAAAGTCCAACACAAAATTATTCAGTGGACTTTCTGAAAATGAATGGGATCAATTTGCGCACACTTCTGTGCCTACGCAGACCTGTTTAAAAAAAAAAAATGCAGCATTGGACTAACCTTCCCTGAATACTTTAATGGCAGTTCTATACATTAGAAATAAATATGTAGCTGTGTGTGGATCAATATGTACGGGACACACAAATGCCGCAGACAGTTTTGTTTGGGCAAATTGGAACTTCTCAATGAACACACACATCATTGCTTGGGCCTCAAAGAGTTAAGCCCATCCATCGTGCGCTGACAATAATGATTTGACGAGTTATTTTTTTATTTCTACTATTTAACTTGCAAATTTACTTTAAATTTTATTTTCTATTCCTTTTTTCTTCTTAATTATTTAAAAGTAGCACTCATACTCGCCCATGTCGTAGTGAGGTACTGTTGGTGTAGTGTTAACAGGGCCATTAGGGGAAACATGCAATAGGAACACTACACTAGTTACAGTTTCTGTCTTGTCACTCTACCAGCATGTCACAGGGAGGAGGAAGGCTCTCTGTTTCTGTTAGTCACCTCAGCCTCATCGTTGAAATATGTAAGTTAACATGAAATTATTGACAAGCAAATGCAAAAGCCAACAAATTAAAATTTGGTTTAATTAAAAAAAAAAAAAAAAAAAAAGAAGTAGTTGACAATGACCAAAACAGATGGCAGTGGTTGAAAAAAATATTGAACATTGACATTCAAAGCTTCATACATAACTGACCCTAGTTTGCTTGAGGTTTGACCAATGGATCAACATCATGGAACACAGGTAGTAACCCATAAGTGCTCCGTTCTTCCTCTAACTCAAGTCTGAGTCCAAAGAAGCTTAGCACAGTGCAAAGGCTCTGTAGCACCAGCGAGGATCCTGAAATACTGTGGGCAGATTTTAAACTCCACATTTCTGCCTGGGCAGCACTGTAAGGCTACTCTTTTCAATTTCAAACTGCCAAGAGAAATTTTTACGTGCACAACAATGCACACGAGCGAGCAATCTCACTACCCAGAGAGACCAAGGGGAATTACTAGAAGTCCAGTCCACGTGAACAAAATCCTAGCCCTTACAGGGGATTAAACCAATGCCTCAAGACCACGCTGCCCCCTGTTTACTCTGGTACTGCACAACTGCAGCTGGCAGAGAGTTTGACATTACTTGGCAAAGGTGTCCTTTAAGTCCATAGAGTCCTTTTCTGAGTCTAAAGATACTAGGCTACTACTAACTGATTTGTGGGTTTTATTTTCAAAGAATTTTTGATGATGTTCACTCTGGTTTTTTTTTTCTCTGCAAATATTTTCATAAATTAGTAAATGTGCTAGAAAAGAGAAGCTAGAGAGTTATAACACTGGATTCTCATTCAATAGACCTGGGTTCAATACTAAGTAAGGGGAGGGACATATTTTATGGTAGGGCCAACAATCTTGACCTGCAGAGTTAATAGTAAATTGAATGCACCATACCCATGATCTCAAATCCTCTAACTGAAACCACTCTACAAACAGTACACTGCTCTTACAAGTAGCAGATACAAGTATTAATGACAGTATTTTATAGTAACATACATACTCTTTAAATGTTTAGAGATTATTTTTACACACACACACACACATATATATATATATATATATATATATATATATATATATATATATATATTTATATATACATACACATACAAACATATATATATCATCATCATCAGTTTCTACTTGTGCCGTTAAGCATTGTGGGGGAGGTACAGTTTAAGATCCATTGCTTGATGATTTTACTGCATATTTGTCTGTGTATGTTTGCCTCTTTGTTGTGTGTATGTGTCTGCATGTCAGAGTATATGTCTGTGTGTGCTGTGTATATGTGTGTGTACTTCTATGTGTTTGTCTGAGTGTGTGTGTTTGTCTTGTATGAATTTCTGTGTGTTTGTCTGTGTTGGTGTCAATATGTATTTGTCTGCATGTTTGTCAGTATTATTGTGTGTGTGTTCACTGCTTGTGTGTCTATGTGGCTGTATGTATGTGTCTGCATGTTTGTCTGCATGAGCGTATGTGTCTCCGTATGTCTGCGTGTGTGTCCGTGTGTATGTCAGTGTGTGAGCATGTATGTATATATGTCTGCTGTGTGTGTATATATATGTATGTGTCTGTATTTTTGTCTGTGTGTGTCTGTGGGGGGGGGGGGGGGGGTAGGTCCGTGTGTGTCTCCATGCATGCCTGTATGTGTGTCTCCATGCATGCCTGTATGTATATGTGTGTGTATGTGCGTGCGCGCGCACGCATGCATGTATGCATGCATGCATGTATGTGTGTGTAAGTGAGTGGGTGAGCATGTGTATATGTGTGTATGAATTTGGGTAAGTGTGTGCACACGCAGGTTTTTGCATGCACTTTACAGCTCATGCTTTTTTGTTCTTTAATGATATTCATAGGGAGTCGCCGTAGCAGAGCGGCTAGACGCGCGCCGCGGATCGGAAGGTCATGGGTTCGCTCCCTGGCGGAGCCGGACTTTTCTTCAAAAATGACCTTGGCTCCCAGGTCGACCCAGCCTTGAGTGGATACCGGGTGCAATCCTGGGAAGTAGAGGCAGCCGGCGTGATGCTGACCACATCACCCATCTTGTGCCGTTGGTCTATAAAAATATAGGTCTAGTCTTATATGCCCTATACGCCTAAAGGCGTGGAAAGGGTCCTTTACTTTACTTTTACTTTTTATGATATTCATAATATGCATATCATCATATTATCACAACATGCTTTATTAGTAAAATACAACCGCTGTGCAAAAGATGGTTGACTGAAAGAACCAAATGTAAGAGTGGCCTGCATACCCAGTTTGTGACCCTTTAAAAAAAAAGTTTGTGGTGATCCATCTGCTACTCCGAACTGGACACTCTCTTCCACAAAACACTAACCACGTGTTTTATCATGCCATTGGGGCAGTAGCCAATGCTGCCATCATCTATATATATGAAACGTGTGCTGATATGTTTTTGCAGACACCACATCTTATCATGGATAGTGACATGCTGGCTGTGTCTTCAGCTGACTTGTCTTTGCAGAACAGCAGTGTAGATGAGTCTGTAGATGGAGTAGGGCTCCACATCCTGACAACAGATCTGGTACATGGGTCTGAGGGTATGATGGAAGAACTGTCATCAGACGTCTGCGGTAGAGGAGTTATTGCTATTCCAACTCTAACAGAAGATGTTCCTAACTCAGTCGTAGAAAAAGATGGAGAAATAACCCTTTATTCTGCTTTCATTCCTGAAAATGCTGTGTTGATGGAAACTCCAAGAGGGTATGTATATAAAGAGCTTCTGAATTGTTTTTTTTTTAAAAATCAGTACACATATATTTTAGATAAGAAGACATACATTTCACAACTGTATTTTGATGCTTCTTTTAATTGATTTTCATCTTGTAAAAGGTAGTGGGCAATTTTACATGTCACGGTATGTATTGGGTGTAGGTTAGTAGTTCCACATTTTGTAGATCATTGAGAAATTGATGAATGATGAGGTCAGTGTATTCCTGGCTGCTTTACTTCTCAGAATATTTTAAACTGAAATGTGTGCAGCTGTGTGATATTGTTGAGCACATTTCATTACCATTGGAGTACTAGAGCTTGAATTCTGTGATGGGCAGTTTTGAGAAAGACCGCCATTGGCCTTCATATCTAGGTAATCACACCATGGACAAGATTAGGGCCTCACCATCTAATATTCTCAAAATAAACATTGGATGCGCATGTCTTGTATGCAAATGCAGCCAACCTCCATGGTGGTAATCAACAACAAAAAAAGAAGGTAGTTCCATATTTTGCAAACCCTTTATCACTTGATGAGTGACGCCGTCTGTGTCTTCCTGGCTGCGTGACTTCCCAGAATTTAAATAGGTGCAGCTCTGTGAGGTTATTGGGCACATTTAATTATCCTTGAGATACTAGAGTTCAAATTCTGAGACAGGCAGACTTTATTAGCTTTTAGGAAGAGGTATTAAACACCAAGGAAAAGATTGGGACCTCAGCAGGTTATATTCTAAAAGACAGCATTGGATGCACATGTCTTATACACACACATGCAACCACCCACAGTTGTTGAAACCAACAAATGAAGAAATAAGTTTCATATTTTGTAGACCATTCAGAACTTGGTGTGGTCATTATTTTGCTTCCCAGAACTTGAATATATTTAACTTAACTGTGGTGCACTTGAGGTTAGTGAGTGGATTTCGTAATCCTTGAGGTATCAGAGTTCAAATTCTGTCACAGGCTGTCACAGATGGTCACACCGGGGAAAAGATTAGGGCCTCACTGCATATTTTCAAAGGCAGCATTGAATGCACATAGTTTATACACACATGCAACCTACCTCCATTGTGGAGACCAACAAAAGAAAAAAGAACCTAACAAAAACTTCTGTCTAGATAATGTTTTCAGTATGTTTTCTGATATTTAAAATTTTAAGGAAAAATAATATAAGGAATATGACAATTGTTTGCTTTCGGACCACCATAATTAGCTGAAGAAACTTCCTATGTTAAATGATTTATACCCTTTGAGTAGTTGTTCCCTCTCTTAGACCACTGAATTTGCCTTTGTATATTTATATGTATATGTTTTTCATTCCTTTAGGACACTGCATTAGTTTATGAGTGTATTTGTGTGTGTGCATGTGTGTGTTTTCCTTGCCTTTAGGACACTATTTGTCGGTGTCAGTTTGTATGTCGATTGTTTTCTTATGTGTAAATGTTTTTCATTCCAGCAGGATACTTTTGTCTTTGTCCCGAGTGTGCGTGTTTTCATTCCATTAGGACACAGTTTTTGTAAATGAATATTTATACTTATATGTTTTTCCTTCCTTTAGGACAGTGTAGTTTTCTGGGCATATTTATTTACCTTATTTGTGTATTTTGTCAGCCTTATGTTAACAGTGCCCGAAGGAATGGGTGGCATGTCGTATGGTGATGATGGCTCTCCAGGTGATTCTTCACAGCAGTTGCTTCCCTGTATATCGGGTCAGTATTATTTCCTTATAAGGAGGAGACTTTCTTTATATCATATAGTCATCGTCATCATCCTATTGTGCCATCTGTGCATCACATGGGGCTTGCCATTGATTCCTCCGCTCTGTTCTATCCTGTGTGATATGGTCACTATTCAGAATGAAATCCATTCCAGTACCTCTGGTTTCTCCCATGAGCATTCATCACAGGGTTTCTCCTGGGCATCTCCCCCCCCCCCCCATCCCTCTCCTTTTTTCAAACCACTGTTTCCCTTTTCAGAGCCTGTTCAGTGATTCTCTATCTGCTTCACTTTAGGATGTGCGCATATATCACCTTCCTCTTGATCCAGTAACTGTTGTTGTGTGGTTAAATCATATAATGCAAGTTGAAATATGTGAAATATCACATGTTTAAACTGCTGCAGGACTCAGGTTTGTGCTCTTAACCCACTTATGTCATGTGAGAAAGCCATTTAGTGTTTGTCTATCCCCATCAAGTTTGCTTTCTTTCACTACTTTAAAAAAAAAAATTATTTATTGTTCCTCTTAATATGTTTCAAAACATCTTGAGTATGTGTATCTAATTTAACCTAGTGACTGAGCAACGGAATCAGTAGAGATAGAAGATTATTATGGCCTAGAGAAAATGAGGCATCTGGGTGTAACCAGAGGGTCTGGCTGGCAAGACGGGCATAAAACAAGATTGTGACTGGTACCATCAGTATTGGAACTCTGCGCTGGCTGCTGAAGATGAGGATGGAGCATGCCTGTGAGTACCTCGAGTGCTATGATGTCAATTCTTGACTCAGCTTAACTCACCACCTAGTGGCTGAGCATTAATCTGCTGGATTGAAGGTCAGAGGTTTACATCCAAATCAAGAGGTATTTTTTCTTGGCCACCCCTCCCGCCCTCCAGAATGGGGCACCCGAACCGCACAAGGATAAAAATGATATAAAACCCATTTATGAGACTCGTGTGTCGAAAGCTGTTTTGATGTGGGGAAAAAGCAATCCTGGTATTACTACAGATGAAACTCAGACCTACGGAGAAAACACTCATTTTTAATCACAGCTTCTAAAGAAGCAGGATGAACAAGATCAAAATATTTTTTGCATGTGTGAGGTGTATGTATGTAAATGAACAATGGAATAGGATACTTACCACATCACCCATCAAAGGCCGATTAGTCTATAAAAATGGGGCTCAAACCATAAACCAGTAGCTGTGAATGTTTGTGAAAAAAGTCTCTAATCTTTATCATGGATAACATGGAAACCCAGAGTAAATAAACTCCACGGCATGAATACAGAATGCAAAAAAAAACCAGTAATAACTGGAAACTGTCATAATGATTTGCATCAGTACAGAATGCATAAGCAGTAATAATCAGCAGCTGTCATAGTAATTACTGCAACAGGTCAACTGGATAGCATATTATATTTCCCAGTTATTGGGAAATGTTGGTATGGTTAAGCTGTTTGCCTTGCATACTGAAGGTTGTGGGTTTGTTTTGTGGGCTGCGTCATTTGGCTGATGAGTGCAGTCTTTATGTAAATCTTTGGGTTCCGTTCCATTCCATGTTTTCCTTTTCTAGCTGCTACCTGAAGGTTTGACATCTCTCAGATTACATCTCAATCTGAATGGTAAGCAAACAGGGCTAATCTCAGGGCAGATCTCCAAAGTCCCTGTCTGGGTTTCAAGGCCCTATTATGGGAGTGGGGGGAGAATAGACATACCACTGCCCCTCCCAACAAGCACGTCATAAAAGCTGACTAATTAGGGATATTTCCTTCAAAGTCACTAATTCTGAGAACCATTTTCAACATTTTGGATCCTGGGTAAACTTGGTATAATAGCCCAAATGTATACTCTGGGGAGAAAATAAGTTTTTTTTTCTAAAAATAATAGAAATTATGCTTACCCTTATTCTTTTCAGTCTCGCTCTTCGGTGCTTGTGATTCAGCCGTAGATGTTGATACTTCAGCTGTCTATGGAACAGAGGTGTCCAACGACACTGAGAGTGGAGATGTAAAATCACAGTTACAGCATAATACAGAAGTGATGTCTGCTCATCTTCAGGTATTATCCCCATCTTTAATTCTGATAATAAGACGGGCAGACGTAAAAGTTGGTTTGCAGACACATATGTAAGAAAGGGAACAAGCTGGAAAAACATAAATAATGCAAGTTTTTTATGATGGTTAAGTATATTTAAATATGGTCAGATCTTTAGAGAATTTGGCACAGGCATTCCTTATCTATCATAAATACAATAATCATAGAGAAACAAAGATACATTTGTTTTTTTAATTCTTGTTTTCCCATTTGATGGAAGTACATATTTCAATGATGAGTAAACTGGGAACAGTAGCGATGTCAATCCTGCTAAAAAAAAAAATGCTGTTTAATGCATGCAGCTAAAATTTTGTGTAGCAGCTCAGGTATATTTAAGCTATAATCTGAAACCAAATGTTAACTTTGTATCTAAGTAAGATTTTCTTTTTCTTTCCCCCCCCAATATTCTTCAAAACTTTAAATAAAATCATAAATCAAGTTAAATATTGACCACAAATGTGGGACCCTTAAATCTAGCATGTTTCAACAGCATCTGCTGAAGAGCATGTCCTTCCAAATGTTATTCATTTAGACATAGAATAGTTTTGAAGTTATCCAGACAACAGTAACACACATGTGCAAAAATTGAATTTTGAGAAAACAGCCTTGAAAGTTTCGTATAAGCTAAGTGCGCTGATTGGCTGAATAAAGCATTTTCCTAACGTATGGACGAATGAAATTTATTCCCTTATGCTGTGTCCCATGAAATTGGTTTTGCGGATGTAATAAAACAGCAAAATTTGCAACCTAAATGTAGTCTCTAAGTCAACAACAAGTTGAGATACAATTATTTTTTTTTCTGTATATGTAGTGAGTATGAAAACCTAGATAAATAAGTTAGACATGCTTCATAGAATACAGAAATAGAGCTTTAAAATTTATTCTTTTTTTTAATACCCTCTTTGGACAGCTATTTTTTACTATTAATATTTGTGAACTATCTATGGAAACCCAAAACGGTCATAATTTATTACTTTCATCTTGGTTTCTTCCCGTAACAACCTCACATTTATTTTTATAAAAAAATTTATAAAGGCATGTCACAAGAGAGGACTAAAGGGTGTTTTCATAATGCCATCTCGATCACTTATATTCAGGTCTTCTTCTTCTTTCGTTCGCCTGAAATAAGTTGTCTATATCAGCAATTTTGTCTCTTGTATAAATTTCACTGTTGTTAATTCATTCAGTGGTCCATAGAGTTTACGTTCCACTGTTGTTCTTTCTGGCCAAAAGATTTGCCTTAATGTGTCAAATTCGGTGCAGTCCTGGAGTACATGCTCTGCTGTCTGGGGCACCTTTCCACAGGTGCACATGGCTGATACGCCTATCTTGAATTTTGTGTACATGTGGTTACGTAATCGGTTGTGCCCTGTTCTGAGGCGGAGGATAATGACTTGTTCTGATCTGTCCAAAATAAAATAGTCGTCTTGTGCTGGGGCTGGTGGTTTCCTGATTTTAATAATTCTTTTTTTTTTTTGGTATGTGACTGGTACATCCGACTGCACTTTTTTCGTACCTTCTCCTGCCAGTTGATCAGCTTTCTCATTTCCAGGCACTCCACAATGTGATGGTATCCCCTGCATTACAACTCTTTGCTGAAGGCTAAATTGTGTCAGCAGTGTTTGCAATTCTGGTAGTTTCCTAGACTGGAGTGCTTCAAGTACTGATTTTGCATCTGTCAGCATTACTACATACTGGGACTTATATTCAGGTGATATACACAATATAAAAAACATTTTGTCGAAGCGATTAAAAGAAACGAGGCGGGGGTATCCTATTTCTGTTTGTAGTGGTGAACTCATTGCCAGAGTCAGAGGACGGTTACATGAAGATTGATATCTGACTGAAGATGAGGGCAGATGATTGAAGATTGATATCTGACTGAGGTTGAGGGCAGATGATTTTGATAAGCATTATTTTCTTATATGCTCACCTCATCAATGTTCAGCTGTCTCAAAAGCACTTTTCATAGTTTAAAACAAATTTTAGTATTTACATTTTATTCCCTGCTGTAAATATAACCATTTAACTTTCACTAGCTATACAAAATGTAAATATAACCATTTAACTTTCACTAGCTATACAAAATGTAAAAATAACCATTTAACTTTCACTAGCTATACAAAATGTAAATATAACCATTTAACTTTCACTAGCTATACAAAATGATGGGTGACTTGTCGTCTACTGACCAGGCAGTGCTACAGTTTTGCCAAATCATCGATGAAGGGATGAGATGCTGTGCTTCATGTGTGGCATTTCAGTCTTAGTCATACTAAAGCCAGTCTCATTATTTGATTGCTAGACTGCGTATGTCTAAAACGATCTTTCATCAATGTTAATACATCCAAAATCCAGGATGATTCAGGAAATGTACGGTTACAGTCAAAGAATGATATTTCACCAGACTTACTGAACCAGTCCTTGTCAGAGGACACCACAGAAGTGTGTGTGACCACTGTAAGTATATTAATTGTTTGAAAATTGAGTCATAGATCAGTGTTTCCCACCGTGGGGCCCATAAGTTGCCAATTTGACTGTTTGAGGAGGGTGGGGAGAATTTGAAAATGGACTTGTCCAGAGTTTAATTTACATAGGGGGCATGAGAATGTTAGAAAGGCTCAGATGGAGCACGGCACAACATTTTTGGGGGAACAATGCCATAGAAGACTCGATAAAGAGATACAGGCTAGAGTTCAAAAAGCCAATGCAGTCAACTACCAACTGGCCCCACTTCTTCGTCATCCAAAGATCTCGTTACCAGCCAAACAACGGATGATCAAGAGCATTTTCATCCCTACGTTATGTTATCAGTGCCAAACGTGGACAATGAACAAATCACATATGCAAAAAATAACTACGTGTGAAATGCGATGTCTCCGAAGAGTCACCAACAATACAAGAAGAGACAGTCACAAACATCAGCATTAGAGACAAAGTTGGAACAAGAGCATGCATGAAACATATTGAAAGACAGAGAATGAAGTGGTTTGGTCATTTAGTAAGGATGCAACCAGATCAGATTGCCTATAAAGCCTTTTACAGTAGAACATCGGGAAGAAAGGCCAGAGGAAGACCCAGGAAAAAATGGATAGATGGAGTAGCTGAATACGGCCAGAAGAAAACTGTCACTCAAATCACGCGAGAGGCACAAAACAAATATTTTAAACCACAACACTGGGCTGCAACCCGGTAAAAGTGAAGAAGACAATAGATAGATAGATAGATAGATAGATAAAATGCCATAGATGAAAGTTAAGATATGCCAGCTAAATATATGATCATCAGCTAATAGTGTGATCATGCAATTTAAAATAAGTTTTTCTCTATTTTGTGTTTAAAAAAAAAAGTAAAGATCCCTTTTCACGCCCTAGGTGCATCGGTTATATGGGAAGAGCGTCCCATATTTTTACAGACCAATCGGCACTGAATGGGTAATGTGGTCAGCATTACGCCGGCCGTCTTTATTTTCCCAGGACAGCCATCCTGGTACCCATTTTAGGCTGGATCAACTTGCGACACCCCATACCATGATAAAAATCCACGCATCCAGCAGTGGGTTTTGATCGCGGTACATTGGATTACGAGTCGGACCCGCAACACCTAAGCCACTGACGCCGCCTGTTTTGTGTATTAGAATTAATAATACAGTACATCTACAAGATTGCAACAAAAAGCTACGGTTTCATATTTTTAAGAACATTCATACTTCTGAATGTTGAGGTCGGTCTTTACTACAATTTAAAGATATGAATGGAACAGGAATTGAGTTAAATTGTGAGTACAGGATGCCATAGATTTCACTGCATGGAGGGAAAGGTGAATCGCTGTAAAACAAAAAATACAACCCAGCAATATCTGCCTCAGAACAAACAGAAATTGTTTATGCCAGTGATTTCGGTCACATGCATGAAGGAATGTTACGGCCATGTGTATAGGGAGATACTTCGTACCTCAATGTGTTAGGTTTACATATTCCCTTGCAAGACTCCTACAACACTTCCTTGGTGTGTGCTACAGGTAATGGGTCATATTGACTTAAAGCAAGCTTTCAGGGGATCTCAGAGGTGGTGGCCTCAGGCTCTCTTCAGCTTACACTTAATGCATGGATCATAAGGTTAATCAAAATCTTATTTGGAACATGAGTGAAGCCTGCTGGCCGAATATTCAGTTATATGACAAACCTTGGTTTAAACGTTTGTCGACTGAAAATCCTACCAAATTGCTGCAGACTGATGAGACAGCCTTAGACCATGAGATTTTTTCACACCTTAGATAAGCAACATCTCCTGTGGACAGTATCTTACAGTTCGGTCCTGAGGTGTGACATACATGTACCAAATGTTCCCTTTCATTGGCCCAACTCGTCAGAGTGTCAGGATCAAAAGGGGAGTCCATGTCTCATTTATGCTTTTCCAATACTGTTTTGCTAGGTTTCCCGATGCAGCAACGTTAAATATGTCTGATAAGCTGAGGGAGATTATGGCCGCTTGTGTGGTCATTGAAGTCCCGGACATCGGGCTGCTCCCTGTTGATCTCCAAGGGGCGCAGCCTGTGATGAGATCGAATTCAATGTATTTATGTGAGGTTAAGCAGTCAGGTGCAGGAAGTGATGACTCCTTGGGTGAGCTCAGGATCAGAGCATCATGTGCAGCTCTGCAGTTATGGAAGCCTCCTTGGATTTTGGGGAATGCTCTTGCCTACCCTGAGGACTGACCAGTCTACACATGGTTGCCATGGATGGGCTCTCTAGGGCCAATACCTGTAGATAAAGGGACAATGAGGACACCACACAAATAAGGGTACATCATGTCCCATGAAACCAACCTGTTGAACAAAGGCTCGATAAAGTCAGATATGTCAGTCAAAAAGTGCAAATATCACAGCTCTGTTGCAAACAAGCATGGCACAGTTACATAATTTTTATGAACAATTAATTTGGAACGGACAAAGTTTATGCCAAATGTATAAGGCACGCAGTTTTACTTTTTCCTACTCCAGAGTGCAGACATTCTTCTTGATCTTCATTATTTAGCCTTAATGTTCATTGCTGCAAGTATCATGCACATCCTTTCTTTTCTATGATTTTCCTTCTCATGCCAATTGGTGACTGAAAGTTTTTGTATGTTGTAGGTATAATATCTCCCTATTGGCTTCTTGATCTGCCTCAAGGTCTACAATTACACTCTTTTGTATACACAGTTTTTGTCCCTCTGTTATCTGCCATTCTCTCTTTATCCCCAACCATTGCAGTCTGTTAGCCTCACGATGGCAATAATTAGTGGTGATCTAAACAGATTCTGAATTTCATTGTTACTTCTCACTCTCCATTTTCTGCTTTTGCATCTTTGATGGTAAACTAATCTGTCATACAACTGTTATCAAAAGTTTGTAAAAAGGCTTTATACTTTTAGTTATACTCCAGGTTTTTTCAGAGACATATAACACAATCAGTATTTTATATATCTTACCCACAGAATGTATCCTAGATTATATTTGTTCTCTTAGTATCTTGGAGAAGTTGAAGTTTAGTCTCACATACCACAGGCAGTAGAGTGAAGTTAAAAAGACAGGGAGGCTAAGGGGTGAGCTGTGTGCAATAGCAAAGGATAGGCTTACTTGGTTTGAGTTGGTTGAGGGCCTATGCTCCACCAGGAGATAAATGGCAGAAAAAGAAGAGAAGACTTATAAGCTTCAGGTGTTTTGCTTTTCATATTATCTATTTGTATATTGCTGGAGTTTTTCTACTTTCCCTCTCTTGTCATGTATTCTGTCTTATCTTGATTGTTATCTAGTCCTATTTATTTAGCTGCTTCCATTAAGTGAGTCAGTATTTTCACTGTCTCTTGTTCATTTTTTTCCTACTATTTATGTGTCATACCTTCTCCTGGCCACCTTATTTCTACAATTTTTGTTATATCCATTTTGTAATCTAATAGCTCACTGGTTAGTTGTTTAGCTCTCAGGTTCATTAAGATGCAGCAGCTGCCCTAGTCACATCAAGGTGGAGACATCTTTTGGGGAGCAAGGGCAGACCTGGCATCATAAAAATACAGAAACTTCCCTGTAGTTCCTTTAACTGTTCTTTTTTTTTTTTTCAGAAAAGAAAAGGTGGTTGGCCTAAAGGCAGGAAAAGAAAAAATAAACCTGCAGTGACAGGGCCTAGAGCACCAGTAACAGGGTATTGAATTGTTTTTTACTGAATATAATTTTATGACAACAGTTTCTAAATAAGACTTTTGTATATTTTACTGTGAAAGTATTTCACTTAATTTTTATCCCGCTAAAGTAAACTGAGTCGTGGGTTTGCTCCCTGGCAGAGCCAAACTTTAAAAAAAAAATGACCCTGGCTCTCAGGTCGACCCAGCCTTGAGTGGGTACTGGTTGCAGTCCCGGGAAGTAAAGGTGGCCAGCGTGATGCTGACTATATCATCCATCTTGTGCTGATTGGTCTATAAAAATATAGGTCCAGCCCTATATGCCCTATACCCCTAAAGGTGTGGAAAAGGGTTCTTTACTTTTACTTATACTAAACTGAGTTATTCTTATGAAGAGGTTTCTGCTTCAGAAACTGAAATACTTCAGCTTTGTTAAATGCCGGTCACTTACAAAAAGAAATATTCAGGGGTTTGGTTCCTGGAAGCAGAGACAGGTTGATCAGCACAAAATTAAGCATAGAATATTACAGATATTTTCAGCATGAAGATGTGAGGGACAGAGGATTTGGCAAGGGATTGAGTCTTTCAAGTAACTGTGATGGGATCAGTGTTCTATAAAGAGCCTGTGACGTGTGTTTGTGTGCATGTTCGGCATGTAGGGGTTGGTCGTTAGTCATGATTCCAACATCACTGCAGGTGGGTTGCCCCCATAACTACTTTGTTTCTGTGCCAGCCAGTGGGGAATCATAGAAAATGTCCTTCACTATTTCATTGGAAACTAGTAAAAAACTTGTCTTCCCAGCAAATTCTTGAAACTTGCAAACACAAAGGAAAATTCATAAGGTATCTGTCAGGAGTTCCAGCACCAATGGTCCCACACCAGAACTGCGACTTGTTGGTCATTCACAAAAGCAGGCATTGCACCCACAAACGTACATGCCATTCTGAATATAATCGGCCACCCACCCAACCTGATTACAGTATGACTAGAATGTCTTTGCACTAGAAACTACAGGGTCAAAGGAATAAAGGCCTACCCACCACACACACAGAAATGCAGAAAAGAACTTAAGAGTGAAGTTAAAAACATTGGTTGAGCTGCAAGTGATCATAAAGTATATGATGACTTGGCTTGAGTTGGTTGATGGCCTACACTCTATTAGGGACTAAAGGGCTGAAGAAGAGGAAAATCACACAATGTTCCCACTGTCTTTTCAGGACAAAGGCAGCAGAAGAATAAAATCAGTATCATGTAGATGCTTGTTTTCCTAACTTTGCTGTCATCTCAGCCTCTTGCAAATTCACTGCTTCATGTATTTTCATGCCAAAGTTTGATACATGACAAGGTAGATGTGGTCAAGGCCCTTTGGGAACAGGCAATAGAATTAGTAGAGAACGAAGATTATAATGGGTTGGGGAGAATGAGGAGGTACCTAGGTGTAACCAGAGGATCTGGTCAGCTCACTACACTCAGAGGAACGGCAAGACGGACATATAACCAGATTGTGACCGGTACCATCAGTATTAGAACTCTGCGCTGGCTGCTGAAGATGAGGACGAAGCACACATGGAAATGCCCAGAGTGCTGTGATGTAAATTCTTGACTCAGCTCAACTCAACACATGCCAAAGTTGTCTCCAGTATCCTGTGTCCCTGTTCATCTTTGAGCTGGTTGACTCCTGTCTGTTTTCACTGAACCATGTCTTATTTTCTCGTTTTTTCTAAACCACTGCTTCCTATAATATGGCTAAAATATTTCAGTTTCTGAGACATGCTTTTGTTATTGAGTCACTTAAGTGCCATCTCCAGAATGAAGGTTGGCTGCAATGGATCTCTAACAATATTGTCTGTTGTCTTGATTGTGCACTCTCTCAGACTGCTGTTTATCCATCTCTCGATGTCCTTGAACATGTATTGATGCCTACCTCTTGTTTTCTTACTTTAGACTTTTCCTGCCAGTATGGCTTTAATAAGAATGTCACCAATTTATTTCATCCCCTTTTTTTTATTTATTCAGCAACTTTTAGTCTATTGTTACACAACCATTGTATTTGATATTTTTCTTTGTCAAATATGAATGCTGTTTCTAAACTGCTGCAGCAATGTTAAAACCTTGTAAATTATTATTGTTTTTTTTAAATTCTTAGTATTTTAAGAATTTTCCTGTAACTTATAAGTTAAATATTAATGTTTTTTTATGTTATGTATATCATATTGTATTTGAATACTTTTTTTCCAAACTTGTCAGCTATGTTCTGTATGCAATGGACAGAAGAAAAGAGATTAAGGAAAGCCATCCTGAGATTACATTTCCAGAAGTGACGAAGATTCTTGGTCAGGAGTGGAGCAACATGGCTGCACAAGTTAAAGAGGTTGGCATGCTTTCAGTTTTCTTCGTTAATCTTTTTTTCATGCATGTGTCTGTTAATTTTTGTGAATTCTTAGAGTAAAAAGTAATGTGCTTTTTCTCTAGAAAAGTAATTTTACAGTTGAATCCTGTTTAAGCGTAGAAGGCAGTCAGTGATGTTCACGATAACCATGACGTTTAAGTTAGGTTACACACTGCATTTATTCATAAATCATTGGACCGCTCGGGGGCGTAGGGGTATGACCTAAGTCTAGATTATTTCGGGAACACTGACGATATGCGATATTGCAGCATGTCGCTGTTAATTGCGCCGTTCTGTGAGCAACTTATTGACCTGTGTTGCATGTCGCTGTTCCTTGTACAGTTTGGTAAGATGTCCCGGACAGAATAGACTCACACCCCTGTGACTGAGAAGAGTCCAAGAAGCTAGGAGTGAAAGGTCAACATCATGATTACCCGGAACAGCACCGGTAGTCTGATATTTATGAATCTACTTCTGGCATAAAAATGTGTGCACGATATTACTTATCATTTTGTGTAGACAAAGAAAACCTAGCTGATCATCATAATTAGCATTACCGTCTAACACGTCCTTTGCAGAATGTTGCTTCCATCATGGCCAACTGGAAAGTCAGGATTTTTTTAGTGTCCCTGCCTCATGTATTTTCCTGAACAAAGTGTCTCTAATATCCTCATTCCACCTTTATTCCGGTTGATCCCTGCCTCTTCTTCCATGAACCTTGCATTTCAGTACTTTTCTTTTTTAAAGTTAATTTCAAGAGGATCAACTTCATTGCACCGGGTTTAATCCCTTATATAGCTCGACCTGTGTCTGCAGAAGGGCTAACCACATCACACAAAGCACTAGCAGCAAAGCTCCCATGACGATCCCTATGGTTCTGTGTAAATAAAGCACTCATGAAATAAACCCATGACCTTCAGAGTGCCAGGCAAATGGCTTGACCACTTTACCGCAGAGCACACCCCCCCTCCCCAACCCATTTCACCTACACAACCCCCCCCCCCCCCCCCAATCCCAATCTCTTTCCTTTTTAAATCACAACAGTTTTTAATATGCCTAAGTATTTCAGTTCCTGGTATATTGTGCTGTTTATAAGCCATTAATTTTTCTTCTTCTCTATGTTCACTGGCTATAAACTCTGGTAGAAAGTCCAGGTTGTTTGCCCACTTCCCCGATTGGGAACCTGTTGCTAGGGCGACCACAGTGGGATGTGGACTGGTCTGGTCCAGCATAAACCCTGCTCTGGGTACACCACCAAGTGTGGTTCAGCACCTCTGCATCTGGTTTTTCTGTACAGTATTCAGGATGTCCAAATTTTTCTTCTGCTTCATCCATGACATTTAAATAACTTTAAACTTTTTTTTTTCAAAAGAATGTCTTATTTTATGGAAACAAATTCAACTGTCGATTTTCTAGAGATTTGAGATTCTAAAGAGAGCTGGTGAAATAAATAAATAAGAATAATCAGCTACATTAAAAGACATGAGACACTCTTATAAAAACTATTAAAGTTAAAAAAAACATTTAAACTCTTTGAGTCCCAAGGAACACATCATACGTTTATAGGTTCCTACGTAGAAGCCCAATGAACACAAGATGCGCTGATTTTATTACTTTCTTTACGGCCCAGCTAAACCCCCTGGGACTCAAAGAGTTAAAAAAAACATTCCACGCCTTCAAGCGGATTTAGCATGTAGGGCAGGACTAATATTTTTTGACCAGTCAACACTTAGTGGGTAATATGATCAACATCACGCCGGCCGCCTCAACTTCCTAGAAATTTACCTGCTTTTTATTTCCTTTCACAGTTATTAAGAAGAAAATCAGAAACCGTTCTCGGCGCAATCAGTACAGGGGGGTTTACACTGTGGAAGAGACTGGGGCTTCACCATGAAATATTCTTAAAGACAGCAATCTTTAAGTGCACCTGAGCCATCTCTCACTTTAGAGATAGGTCACAATTTTGAAATAAAAAACAAATACAAATCAAATCAGAACTTTTTAACGTTAACCACTCATGTCAGAAATGAAATGTCAAACATGTGTCAGCTTTGGTTATATAATTGGTCATAACTGCAGGACAACAGTGATTCCTTAGGTGGCATTCAAGAGGTGAACCTGAGGAAGTAAAGGGTTAGCACAATTGCTTGCTTGCCTTGTAGTTATAGGTTTGAATCCCCATCGAGGCTGATTTGTTAAATTGACCTGGCCTCCAAGATCAATCCAGTCTGCACATAGTTATCAGGAAATGTTTTGAGAAGTAAATGTTGCTGGTGTAATCTTGATTATACCACTTCTCAAATGCTGGTTTGTCTAACAAAAAAATATGGATTTAGCACCATATGACTGATTGGTTCAAAGGTCGAATAGACCCACTGCCTACCCAAATGCATGTCGTAAAAGTCGACTAATTGGGAGCTTCCATTAAAGTCGGAGTGCATCTGCCCGAGAGGCAAGGAACCAACAGTCTGCACTAATGAGTCACATCTGTAAAACAGATGTGCACACAACACTAAGGTTCGGGAACAGGGCTTGAGTCCAGAAATGGGTGACCTAGAAACTAGCCTGAGTTTACGGCTGATGAACGCAAAGAAGAAGATGAAGAAGAATATATCTCAGAGCCTGGAAGCTAGTCCTTAACACTACTGTTAACTTACATATGAAGGTAAGCAGAAGGAAACAGACAATACTGATACACAACAGACAGGACATTCTCACACTCTTGTGTATTGCTGAAGATAAAGGGCAGTTCAAAGCCTTGACTGTAAATGCATTCAGTTTAGCATCTTTATAACAACAGAAGGAGTGGAAGAGAAAAGAATATTTGTCATTAAGACATACTCTGGTGTTAAAAAGTTAAAGGCATTATTTTAGGACAAGTACAGAAATTTTAGTATTTAGCCACATGGATAACATCTGATAGAAGATGTTTCACAGAGATAAAGAAGAGAATAGGACAGGCCAAAACTGCATTTTACAAATTGAAGAACATTTTCTACAATAAATCCATGACATTGGAGGTTAGGAAAAGAATTCCTGCATGCTATATAGAGCCAGTTTTAACATACGGATGTGAAGCGTAGACGATTAATAAATAAGCTGAACAATATCTTGAGGCCACGGAGATGTGGTTTTACAGAAGAATCCTTAGAATTCCTTTGACATCTAAGAAGAACAACCCATATGTTTTGAAAGAGTTGAATGCTTGAAGACAACTTATCACAAACATAAGAAAGAGACAGTGATCATTTTTTGGTCATGTTATGAGAAGAGTGAAAATGGAACATGTGACAACTGGAAAGATCTGTGGAAAAAGAGACAGAGGAAGACACCAAAAAATGATTCTTGACAGTCTTTTTTCATGGCATTGAGGGGTGTCAACACACGAACTGATACACACTGTCGCAGATTGTGGAGAGGCATGATTTCCCATGCCTGTCAGCAAGGTACTTGATGATTGTGTTAAACTCATATTTTTTGTTTAAAGTATGTGATGATAAGTGGAAGCACAGTGGCAAGTATGCGAGCCTGCTGGTCAGGTAGTCATGCTTTTCGTTAGAAATACATGACAGGGAGTAATCAATAAACATAAACGTGGCAGAGAATTAAATGACTACTTCTGTAAGCCTAGAAAATAAGTCATGACCTTAAATACTAAAGCGTAAGGGAGAATTATGACATCATGGCTTAAAAGCGGCAATTTGTTCACCCCTCCCCCTCCCCCATGCGCTGTTTTTTAAAGTAAATATAAGTCGTATCTGGACATTGCGTATGTGCAGACAGAACCAGTGCCAAAGACAAGGCTTGTTAGGACTGGCCACTGCAGCAGTGTTGTCTGATCAGCTTCTCTGGCATTTGTAACAGACAGAACCAGTGCCATAGACTAGGCTTGTTGGGACTGGCTACTGCAGCAGTTTTGGCTGATCAGCTTCTCTGGCATTTGTAACAGACAGAAATGTCCGGTTTATGGTGTCTAAGGTTGAGAGGATGTACTTTACAGTGAGGCCAGTAATAAAATCTCTATCCAGGCTTGAAGACCAGAATGTCAAGAAAAAGCTGATTGATGTAATACAAATCTAATGATCTAATGTTAACTCATACACCTCAAGATCCTCTGCTTTTGACGATAAATGTGGTCAGTAACTTGCACTGACCCAGAGATTCTGGGTGCCATTTTATTAGACATGGCCAGTCTTGAAGTTGTTGTTGGTGAATAATCCTTCTGTAATGGAATTTAACTGGGACCGCTGAACTCAAACGCAGGAGCACTAACTGCTGCACTGTCATTGTTTCTTGAAATGTATTTGTCCCTGTGTGGGTTCCAGGGCTCCATTTTAGAGGAAAAAGAGAATAGACTCAGTTTTCTCCAAACGAGCGTGTTGTAAAAGGCGGCCAATTGGGGGCGTTCCCTTCACAGTCAGACTGCTTCTGATTGAGAAGTGTGGAACCAACAGTGCGTATGAATAAGCCAGATCTGTAAAATTGATGTGCACTCAAAAGTAAAGTTTTGGAACAAAGCCAGAGTCCAGGATGAATAACCAGAACTTTTCGCTGGAGTTTATAGCTGATAAACACAAAGAGGAAGAAATGTTTTTGAAGGTATACAATGATGTTAAAACCCTGAGATAAATCATTGGTTGTCTTGTGCAATGATTTCTCTCAGAAGAGATGTGTATTTTCCTCATGATTACCTGCCATTTTACCAATGATTGATAGGTTTTGACTTATATGTAGGAGACATGACGTCTACAAATGAGGCCACAGATATTCTCAACTGTGATGAGGTAAGCTGTAATAATTAGAGGATGGAAAAAAAGTGAGGAGGGGGGGGGGGATTGGTGTAGAGAAATGTTGGGGGGTGGGGGAGGGGGGGGGGAGACATTTTGTGGATTCTTGAAGAAACAAGAACAAAGGACACAGGAATAATTAAAGAAAAGCTGTGTGGTTTCTTTCTCTCTATACACTTCCTGATATATCTTATGATGGTGCTGTTATTAAGCTTCGTCTTTTTCTTCGTGTTCCCTGGCTGTAAAATCCAGCTGAAAGTTTGGGTTATTCATCCACCTCAAGGCCATAGTCTTTTTCCAGAACCTGAATGTTGCATGTACATCCATTTAACAGATCTGGATTATTCCAGACCCTTTTCACACTAGTGCTGCATCATGCATATGATGCTAGAGATATTTGTAATAACCTACAACAAATTATTTATCATATATATATATATATATATATATATATATATATATATATATATATATATATATATATATATATATATATATATATAATAATGGCAAACTACTGGACGTAAATTTGCCTAGAGAAACCACACAACAGCCAGAGGCTGTTCGGGTTGGTTCTGCAATGTCCTGTAAAGGATACGCAACTAACCTTTCTATATATATATATATATATATATATATATATATATATATATATAATATAATATATATATATATATATATATATATATATATATATATATATATATATATATATATATATATATATATATCTGCCTTAGTGCAGTTTTGAATTCAAGAACGTTTTGCAGACATTTAGAATTTTGCTTCTGCAGATGGCTCCCATCCTTATCTTAACCACTGACTGCCATGATAGCACATATGTGATCGGCTGACGGTTACATCTGGCTACTTTGATCACCTATAGTGGGTACCGGGTAGTGTTCCGGGAAGTAAATGTGGCCAGCATGATGTTTACCACTTCACCTTTCGAGTGCCAATTGGTTTATAAAGATATAGTTCTAGCGCTGTATGCCTGATGCGCCAAAGTCGTGACTAGAGTTCTTTATATGTTTACTTATACTTTGCTCGTTATCATCATGTAGCAGATCCTTTGCAGAACATTGCTCTCAGCATGGTCTGCCTGAGAGAAACTTGATCTCTCACCCGCTCTTCTGCCTCGAGTACTTTCGTATTCAAGGAGTCTTATATCCTGTGCGCATCTTCGTGTTGGTGACCTCTGCCCCTCCTTCCTGGTACCATGCCTTTTGCTATTATTTTTTTCCTGTTCATCATGGTGCTTGATGTGACCAAAATATTTTAGCTTCGAAGACAAGATGTTGCTTATTAGCCAATCTTCCTTGATGTTCAGATCTTTTAAAATGTTAATATTTATTCTCTTCTTTGTCTATGGTATTCTGAGAATCTTTCTATAGCATTTCAGCTCAAAAGCCCATATTTTCTTTCTTAAGGACTTTTGCTTTGCTAATGCCTTTTAATGTGGCTGAAATATTTCATTTGCCTCTTTGATTAGTTCCATTAACTGTCTCTTTAATCACTGTATTTTAAATCTCTGTATTTCATTGTCTGTCAGTGTTTAGTAGCAACGTATAAGTGATGCTTTGCTATCTGGATGTAACATATTTATATTGCTTATATGTTGACACATGATCTTGTAAAACAAGATCTTTAAAGTAATAAAATAATGTGTCATTTGTATCTTACAACAGGAAAATTCAAATGAACTTCACTGTAAAGTCTGCAATGTATACTTTAGTAGTCTCCACAACAAGCGAGAGCATATGTATGGGAAAGCACACATACAAAATGTCACAGGTGAGAATTCTGAAATAGTCTATTTTTTTTGTATAGCTTCACACATATCAAAGAGTGTTCAAACCTTCACTGTAGAGTCTGTCTGCAATGTGTATTTTAGTAGTCTCCACAACAGAGAGCCTTTCTGGACATATAAAAAAAAAAAAAAGAAATAATAATAATTGACCTTGGTTTCCAGGTTGACCCAGCGTAAAGTGGGTAACAGGTATTGTCCTGGAAAATAAAGGCGGCTGGTCTGATCTTGACCACATCACCCACGCGTTCAGAGTGGTAAAAATATGGGTCTTACATCATATGCCTGATGAATCACTAGGGTAAAAAAAATTTTTAGTGAGTTTCTTTACAGCAGACAGAATGTTTATGACAAAGCACACACATAAAATGTCACAGTGGCTAATTTGTTTAGTTTCACTCATCAAAGGTAACTAACGAATAGTAAAAGTGATTCCTGGTGTGTAATTGACCAGAACATTGCTTTCCATTTGATTTACCACCACACACCGAACAGGCAGTTGGTGAGACTGGCTGTAGCTTTGACATTAGAAACATTAACAGTCACCTCTCATGTAAGCAAAAGAAACTTCCATGACTTCAGTGAACTTTCAGAAACTAGATGAACACAATGCTTTGAGAGAGACCATTCACATTTCATTAGAATTTATTCAGTTTTTATGCTTCATTATATGTTAATGTAAATCTGCAGTAACATACCTGACAAGATACAGCAAAATATGCCTGGCAATAAATGTGTGCAAATGTTTTGTTTGTGTCTCATGGCAAATGTTGCTGTTATGATGTGAAGTGTTATGTCTTCTCGTGTACTAGGCCATGTCACATGACAAAGGGTGGCCAGTTACTTTTCTTGTGACCATTTTCCCCCCAACAGCTTCCAGTATATTATGGAAATTGGAATAGTAACACCTGTTGTATTTATTAATGGGTTAAAGTAGTGTATTAGTCTTGGGCTAAAATCCAACATAATGTGGGATTGTCGTGATCATTTGCTGTGTTGGTTCCAGGGCCCCATTGTAGGGAAACAAAGTAAAGACCCACTGACCCCCCCCCCCCCCCCCCCCCCCCCCCCCCCCCCCCCCCCCCCCCCCCCCAACCTCACAAAAAAACATGATAGCTAAAGGTGACTAATTAGTGGTGCTTCCTTCGAAGTCAGAGTGCATTTGCTTTAGAGGGCAGAAACCAGCAGTCTGCATACAAAAAAGCCAGATCTGTAAAACAAATGTGCATGCAAAACTCAAGTTATAGAATGATATCAAAGTCCAGAAGTGGACGAGCAACCTTAACTTTCCACTAGAGTATTCAGCCATTGAATGCTAAGAAGAGAATTCCATCAAGCAGATTTGTTACATTAACTTGGGCTGTCAGGATGATCCAGTCTAAAATAAATACCGACGAATGTTGTGAGAAGTAAATCAAACGGTGAGATATTGAAAGTATCACCCACTGAGTAGCATTTCTTCTTTCTTTCTTTTGTCCCACTGCTTTTGCTGAAAAGCATTGCAGGGGAAATTAGATGTAGTTTCATGTCTTTTGCTAGTTGTATAACTTGATACCTTTCTGTCCTGTCTCTTTTACTTCCTCTGCCCACTCTTTCTTGCTCAGCCTTTTGACTTGTAGTCCACTATTCATATATAGCACGCTTTAACTGCTGGCTGGTTGTGTTCCATTCTGACCAGTGACCAAACCATTTGATTTTTTGATGTCTATAAAACTTACCTACTGTTTTATCTTTATAAAAGTAGGAGGCTAGCACCATATGCCCAATAAGCATAACTCATTGAGTCCCAGGGGGTTTAGCATCAGAGGCTATAGGGTAGTCATTAGAAAAGTAAGATCGTTTATTGGGCTTCTAGGTAGGGAACCTATGAACATATAAAGTGTTCCTTGGAACTGAAAGAGTTGAGATTTAGAAACTGGACTTTTACTTTCTTCTTCTTCCATTCTTCTGTCAGAAAACTTATATCAGGAGGCCGGTAGCCTTTATGAAAGCTATCGTTCCGTCCATATCTTCTTATTTACCATACAAAATTGTCTTCATTGTGGTTGGAACAGGCCAGATTGCGTCTCTGTTGGCAGAATACAGTTGGCAGTATTGGAGCACATGCTCAGCATTTTCTGGTGCCATGCTACAGGAAAACGTCTCCGTGTTTCCTTCTCTGTGTTTCCTATCCTACACCGAAAAGTTTGAGTATATGTTGACGAAGTCTGTTGTGCTTATTCTGAAAATAATACATTGTCCTTGTCTTAAGGTGATGAATCGAGTCTTGAAGGAATTTTGTGTGTGTATCCAGCCACCTTTCTTTGATACTAGATTGTATTAATGTCTTAGTCTATTGGTGAGTAAAGTCACTGTTTGATTGCACCATGTTACTGCCGCTTCTGGCCGATTAGTCCACTGTTTCATTGCCTATAATCCACTGCGGTACAGACGTTCTCCTGAAGAGCCTAAGTGAATCAGTTGTTTCATCAAGTCTACAAACTGTATGTCTTTTAGGTTAACCATTGCTTGTAGAACTGACAGGGCATCAGTCAGAAAGACCACTCTGCCATACATGCGGTGCTGTTGTCCATTCAGGAAAAAACATGCCACCAGAAGTGTGTCTGCCTCTGCTCTGTATTTAGAAGAATATAAACATGACTCTTTAACTTTTTATTTTTCAGTCATTTATCCTTCTCTTTTACAATAATTTTTTTCACTGCATGTTCCAGAAGCCGTAGAAAAGGAATTGTTAAGACAGCAGCAAGAAGAGCAAGCTTTCATGGACAGTGCTCTAGTTGTCTCTGAGGACATGTCTCAGGATGACTTCGCATCTGTCACCAAAACTGTTGCAACCTCTTCTAGCAGTAGTTCTTGCAGCAATACAAGTGATCCAGGGCCACTTCCCTCAGTACCAGTAGATATACATCGCTTCATGATGGAGTTTATTCATAAAAACTATGGTATGTTGATTGTTTAAATGGTTAGCTTCATGATGGAGTTTATTCATAAAAACTGGTATATGGGTTGTTTAAATATGATTGGCTTCATGATATTATTCATAAAAACTATGCATATAATATGTGTGTGGCTACAAGCTCAAGATGGAGTATGTCCATAAAGACTATGGTATTTTGGTTGTTTGGAGGGCTTTCATTATGACATTTTAAAATAAAAACATATGGTATGTATGCTGATTGGTTGGACCATTGACTTTGCAGTTTATTCGTACAAAGTATGGTATGCATTCAAAATAACATCTTCACAGAATGTCTTGCAGAGCTGCCCTTCCCCAGTGTCATTGTTAATTACTGCCTGTAAAAAAGGCTAGCATTTAAAGACTTGTATTTGATAATTGATCTTTCCCTTCATTGGGAGAGGGGGGAAAAGGGGAGGAAGAAGAGGGATAAGCAGGTGAGGAAGAATTTATTTAAAGAGAGGTTAAAGTATTTTGATAATGTAGATAGCAAAATACTCACAAAAATCCCTCTGTGGATTCTGAGGTCTTATTTGGAAGGGAAAGTGAACTGACCAACTTTTTCTTAACAAGCATACCGTAAATAGCTATTTATTTGTGGGTGGTGAAATTGGATGTGTTGGGCCAAAAGGCACTGGTATTTCAACTTAGCTGTAAACCACAAAACAATGTACCAGCCACCCTTTTGAGGATGAATGCAGAAGATGAAATGATATAAGGGAGGCATGGTACATAATCAGGTCATGTTCATGTATAGTTTTTAATGTTTATTTAATGTGAATAAACAGCCTTAAATAGGTATGGGGTAAACTCCTGGAAAGTAAAGGCGACTGAAACGATATAAGGGATGCATAGTACATAATCAGGTCATGTTCATGTATAGTTGTTAATGTTTATTTAATGTGAATAAACAGCCTTAAATGTGTATAAGGTTAAGTCCTGGAAAGTAAAGGTGGCTGAAATGATATAAGGGATGCATGGTACATTCAGGTCATGTTCGTATAAAATTTTTATTTAATATAATAAAATAGCCTTAAATGTTTGCGAGGTGAAGTCCTAGAAAGTAAAGGCGGCTGGCGTAATGTTGACCACATCACCTAGCAAGTGACGGTTGGTCAGTAAAATATAGGTCTAGCCCTATATGCCCAATACATCTGAATGAGTAGAAATAGTCCTTGCTTACTTAATATGAATAAATATATTTCACAGAGAGGGAACAAGAAATTTCAGTGCTCAAGAAATGTTTAAACAAAGCATTGCAAGATAATGTAGCCATGTGTAAGGAAATACAAACACTTCAGGTGAGCTTAATGACTTGTATTTTGCAGTGAAATATTTACTTGTTAAAATACTATAATGTGATACTTCAGTGCAGACCGCTTAAGGTGATCTCGGCTGTGGCGAATTTCTGTTGTGAAGAACAATTTGTTTATTCTCAGCCATTTTTCTTGCTTAAACAGGAGGAGTTTTTGATAAGAAAAACAATTTGTTTATTCTCAGCCATTTTTCTTGCTTAAACAAGATGAGTTTTTGATGAGAAAAACAATTTCTTGGGTTCCTGATGAGTTCTTATCAAGTCTGCACTGTATTTTATTTTATTGTTTAAGATGTAACACTTGCAAGAAAGAATAAACAAGAAAAACAACATGTTGTTAACATTATAATATCTTAATATATTCAAAACAATGTTTTCCTGTAATGAATTTAAATAATGCGGACACAAACAATACATTGCACAAATTAAATTTATCGTAAATTTGAAGTTACCCTGGTAAGTCACGTGACTACCATAAGCTTCCGGCGGCCATAAACACACGCAATGTATCGGAAGAAACTATTCGCATTTCAGTTAAATTTATTCAGTTTTGTTCTTCATCTTAATATATTATTAATATCTGTTAATTGGGAGGGAGGGAATTTTTACACTACTGGCACCTTAATATATGATGCCAGACTCATATTTTTTTCGATCAGTCGGCACCCTGGTCTTCTTTACTTACCAGAACATTTACCCAGTACCCATTTAGGCTGGTTCAACCTGGGAGCCAAGATCTGTTTTGAAGAAAAAAATCCACCTCAATATGAATTTGAATCCAAGAGTTTTGAGCAGGCGGGTGGGCGTCTAGCCATTATGGCACCTCATAACAACCTATCAAAGATATAAGATCATCATATAGCAGGCCCTTCACATAACATTTTTCTCATCAGTCATCACTGCCCACTAAAAAGATTCTGCCATTTGCCTGTAGTAATGGTAGTTAACAAAAAAAAAAATGAATTTTCTAGAATGCAGCATCAAAGTTACTGGCACAATCCTCAAGCAAGGTGATATGTTTAGTTACTGGGTTACCTTGATAACCGCAGTTGGAAAATGTACTAAAGATGTTGACTGTAGAATAGCTGAAGCAAAGGCAGCAGTTTATAAAAGGAAGAATATTTTCTGCAATCTTTCTTTGTCAGTTGAGACGAGAAAGAGTATCTGATATACGAAAGTGAGTCTTGGACAGTTGGACAATTAGTAAAAAAAATTTTTGAAGCTGCGGAGATGTGGTTGTATAGGCAAATGAGGAGATTATCTTGGACAGATAAAAAGGGTAATAAAGATGTCAGCAAAGAAACTGGCTCATAAAAACTGATTACCCACATCAGAATGAGATGGTTTACATTCCTTGATCATGTCATGAGAAGGCAAGAAGTGTTTTGTCCTCAGTGTCCTTGTCCACCTTTGTGCTAATAGACTTTGCTTCTTTTTGCAGAATATGTCTTCTATCACTGTTCCTTCTAAACCACTAAGGCTCATCTTCTTCTTATGTATTCACCTTTAAAAGCAAATACACTGTTGTGTTGTAGTAGGAAGCTAGGCTGCAATATCTGCCTCTTTCTATTCATCACATTAGATTTCAGATAGCCCTTGCCTATTAAGGGACAGTGGTTCTACCACCCACATGGCCAGCTCTAGGTATAAGGCTATAAAGCTGAAATGGAAATTCCCAATTTGTGAGGCTGGCGTGGCCGGTTGGTGGTAACTATTGTTAACCAGTAGATTTATACACAAATTGAACTACAGTTTGATTAATTTGCAACATGTTCTATTCAATGAATTATTATTTTTAAGATAAATAAATGAGCTATTAGAAAATGTTTTTCTTCAAATTGATAATTTATTCAATAACACGTGTTGCAAATTAATTAAACTGTAGTTCAATTTGTGTATAAATCTACTCGATAACAATTGTTACCACCGACCGGTCACACCTGCCTCACAAAAATGGGAATTCCCATTGCAGCTGTATAGCCTTATATCTGGAGCTGGCCGTGTACAACCTCCATCCCCTACTAGGGTGAGGCCCTGAACCTGCATTTCATTGTTCACTTCATTGTCCTGGTGTGCCATTATGTCGCTCAGGACTCACAGTCTACTTCTCCATTCTGTTCTTTTCCTGTGCAATCACTTCATGGATGCAGTCAAGTCCAGCACTTTTGGCTGCTCTCATCCATGCTTGCCATAGTGTTTCTCTTGGACATCATTTCCTCAGGCATTCTATTGAGGCTTCAGCTAACATTTCACATACATCTCCATGACATGATTAACCCTTTCTTATTGCAGGAAGACAACTTTAAGACCACCATCGTCACACACAGAATATTTTCACATTTCAGATCTATCCAAACCCAACAATTGTTTTCAGTACTTTTTGGCAAAGTAAAATACTCAAAATTTTAAAACTATAAATAGTGGTACCAAGGACGTTATGTTGAAAAGCTTTCTCTCCTACAGTATACGCGTTGCCAAATCAGAAGGAGCTGAAACCAAGAAGGAAACATCAGATATGAAAGGACAAGAAGAACACAGTTGACAACAGGAAATGGAATGAGCGGTCCGACTTGGAGGAAAGAAGCATTAAGTCGAGAGACGGCACAAATACCAGAACTTTAGCCACGAAAGTGGTCCAAATAAACAAGACCACAAATATAGCCAGAGACTGATGGCAGTTTCAGCTAGCTAGCAGCAGGTTGAATGTGGCTGAGTTTTTGATTTTTTCTTAAAAGGTATTGGAATTGGAATAGTGCCTGTTTGGTGATTCTCTGTTTTGTGATTCTTTGTTTGTTGATTTTCTGTATGGTGATTTTCTGTTTGGTGATACTCTGTTTGTTGATTTTCTGGTTGGTGATTCTCTGTTTGTTTCTTCTCAGGATGTATCCAGTGTAATGCCATCTTCTCTGTCTTATACTCTGTTGATACTAATGGGTTGCCCAGATATTTCTCTTATTTCTTCACTCCTCTTGAACTGGTCCCATTTTTGGAACTCACATAGGATTGTTAATATATTGTACAGTATTTCAGGTCTGAGGCATGATGTTGTTTCTGATCTATTTTTAATACTGTGTAAATACCTTTGTTTTACAGATTGTTAAATCTTGGAGTGTTTGTGATGAAAATGAAATTTTATTTCATTAGGTTGTAGCAAAAGACTGTTATTATGGGATGATCATTAATAGTTCTTACAGAATTATTGTAAATTTGTTTTCCCAGGAATATCAAAACAAGTTAGAAGAAGAACTGAAGTCACTAGCCAGCACAACATCATCACTCATCCTTCAAAGTGATGCTCTCAAGATGGTTCCCACTTTGTTTGGCATTATCAACTTATGACCCATTTATACATTTATTCCTGTTTACATTTTCAGAGGCGTACAGTAAAGGAAACATTGTGTAGTCCAGAGAATGTTAGTTAGTATTGTATGCTAGTTTTAAAAAAAAACATGCCGTTATGCATACAGTTGGCTGCTTGTGAACCATAAATAACATTTCTTCTTTTGCATTTACCACTGTGATAGGCACATTTTATAGTAGTTTACATCAAGGCAGTCCCCATGTGAGTACCAGGGCTCCATTATGGAGAAAACAAGAATAAACCCACTGCCTTCCCAACTAGCATGTTGTAGGAGTTTACTAAATGGGGGCTTTCTTCGGTCTGAGTATATCTGCCCAAGAGGCAAGGAACCATCAATTGCACAGAAAAAAGATGGTAAAACAACCAGGACTTTTCACTGGAGCTTACAGCTGGTGAATAAAGAAGACATCAAGGCTGCCTTACCTGCCCCTTTTAGCCAAACGCACCAACAAAACTTAATAAGTCGCCTTTACAAAATGCTTATTGAGGGACAGTGCACCCTTTTTTTCTCTCCCCGCAGTGGGGCCTAGAAACTTGCATAAGGAATTACAGACAAACAACTATTGGGCTTTGTGATAAGTAACTGCAGAATGCCAGTATAGCATACTTTTGAATATGAAATCATTCACCTGAACTCATTTGATAATTGCAGAAACTTTATGTTTCTTGGTTCTTGTTCAGAGTATTACCAGGCTGTTTAGAGTTTTAACACAACTGTTTATTTACCTGTCTTGATACAGTAATCGGGGTAGTTTCCTCTTGGTATTGTTTTGTGTTTGTTGACAGAGAAATGACTCAAACCTGAAAAAAAAAAAATTCAGTACGTCCTCCTCCTACTACTACTACTGCTCCTATTATTCTGATTCTCATACTTCTTTGGCATTCTGCCTTAAAGGGCAGTTGGCATTCTGCCTTAAAGGGCAGTTGGCATTCTGCCTTAAAGGGCAGTTGGCATTCTGCCTTTAAGGGCAGTTGGCATTCTGCCTTTAAGGGCAGTTGGCATTCTGCCTTAAAGGGCAGTTGGCATTCTGCCTTAAAGGGCAGTTGGCATTCTGCCTTAAAGGGCAGCTGGCATGTTGTGTTGTGGCTTACAGCTAGACTGCCTTTCAGTCCCTTGACTTTAGAAAACCCTTAATTTCTCACCTTTTCAGTTTGCTTGTAAAGGGGACAGTAGGTCCCTTCTTCTTTTTTTTTTTTTTACCCTTCCCAGATTGAATCTCAGTGCCCTCATGAAGAATGGCAAATACAACCACGTGGCTTTGTGTTATATGTTTTTCAGAATGCTAATAAAACATGCTCCATGACAGAAAATCATTCACCTTTGCTCATTTGATAATGGCAGCAACTTTCTGTTTTATGGTATCTTGTTCAGAGTAATATCAGGCTGGTTAGAGTAACACTATTGCAACTGTTTCTACATGTTTGCATATCTTGTTCAGAGTAGTTTCCTCTTGGTATGGTTTTCTTCTTCTTTGCGTTCAATGACTAAACTCCAGCTGAAAGTTCTGGTTGTCCACTTCTGGATTCTAGGCCTGTCCCAAAAACTGAGTTTGAGCACATCCATTTCACAGGTCTAATTCATTTGCATGCAGATTGTTCGTTCCTTGCCTCTCAGGCAGATGTGCTCCGACATGATGAAATATCTAAAACCTGTGACGGTCCTTACCCACATAGGACTGTGGGTTACACTTCTCTGGTGTGGCCGTTACAGGTGCCCTAATTATAACTTCTTAGGAGGTTGAACAAAGTATCTGGGATCCTCTGTGTTGGTCTACCTTCCAGATTGAGATTTTAAAATCTCAGAATGGTATCGTGAATCTCTAGGTAGAGCCTAAAAAAGGACATACTGATAGATTGATCGAGCATTACCAATCTAGGCCTAATCTCGGCCAGTCCCATGTGTGCCTGGCTAAACCATAAACTGTTTACATCCTAAGAGTCCTATCTTCAGATGTGAAGTTCTGGTCCTGACTTTGCATACTCTGCTGATTTATGAAAGGGAAAGGAGCGCTCTGCAACGGTATGTCCTGTGGACATAATACTTTGGTACCACTTGAGATGAAAGTCTATACAACAGATTCAATCTTAAAGATTTAAACCTGTTTGGAACTCAGGTTGCTTGAATGTCTTTATGTTTGACTAAAGTCTTCCAAAGAATTCACAAAACAACATTCAGAGCAGGTCCATGCTGGTCTTCATATAACCAAAGTTAGTTGAAGAACAAGGTGGAAAGACAACATTAGAGAAATTCCAACAGTATCAAGTCTGTGGTCTGAACTAGTTGTCAGAACAGTAATGGTGAAAATGCATTGATTACTTGTATTACTGTAATGCAAATTCATCATTTAAACAAAAAAATACTAGACCAAATTGGTAAATTTGATTATGATATTTGAAATCAGCGTGTCAGAATCAGTCAGAAATGATGTGTTTACATTCTGGTACTTAAATACTTTGAAAATTTCTTGACCAGTGTTATCAGAGCGAAAAGTGGGCAAGACCAGCTTCATATAAACATTCACAAATAACTAAGAGGGCATTACAGTAACACCTTTTATCAGCAAGCAGAGACATACAGATTATAGAGTAGTTCTGTAAGTTAGAACGATGTACTGGCATTTATTGTTTTCTCCTAAGTTTTGTTCACTTCTTTTTCTTCTTCTTTGCTCATCTGGATGGCGTTATTGCATAATGCCTGTACAGATTAGCTGCAATATTGGCACCTTTTGGCTGACACATGCGATATCTTCAGGCATTTGTTTTCTGGGTTAGCCTTCCTGGTTAGTTTTGTGGGACATTTAACAACCTCATTTGTGTAGTGACTTCATTTTCTCCTGATCTGTGTGGTCGTATAGGACATATCCAGGGCAGACTGGTTGGCCATCAAGAGAAGGCAGGGGCAGAACATGGGCATTCTCAACAATCTGTGCAGGCTTCTATAAATGCAGAGCTAATACATGGTGTTTGGTACTGGACTTAGCCAAGGAATGGTGAATGTTCACATTTTGCACATAACTACTAAATCTCACATCCATATATTTGCCTGTGTGGGTTCCGGGGCCCTGTTATAGGGGAAAACAAGAATAGACCCGCTGCCTACCCAAAAGGATGTCGTAAGAGTCGACTAATTGGAAGCTTCCTTCAAAGTCAAGAGTGCATCTGCCTGAGAGGCAAGGAACCCACAGTCTGCGTACAGATGAGTCAGATCCGTAAAATGGATGCACACACAACACTCAGGTTCTGGAACAGGACTGCAGTCCAGAAGTGGATGAACAACCAGAACTTTCCGCCAGAGTTTACAGCTAGTGAACGAAAGAAGAAGAATAATAATAAGAAATATATCCATATATTGAGCTTCGGAGGGTTGAAATCTGTGACTACTGAGCACGCTGGCTTGCCTGCTATCTATTGCGCCATCATGGCCCACAAGTCACTAAAAAAGATGGATTGTTCATGTTAGAGTCATTATTTTGCACAAAGGTGGTTTTCATTTAAACGAATATTTGTTCGGAGGCACAAATAGATAATTACGGTCTGAGCAGAATAGCGCTGTGAGGCATTACCCGAGGATCTGGCCGACGCTCAACACTCAAGGGAAAGGCGAGACGGATATGCAATCAGACAGTTGCTGGTGCCAACGGAATCGGAACTCTTCACTTGCTGCTAAAGATGGGGTCAGAGCACGAATGGGAGTGCCCTAAGTGCTGTGATGTCGATTCTTAATTGAACATAATAAATGAAGGGAAGTAAATACTACGTACAAACAGAACAAAGATGAAACTGCTTTTCTATCCTTTGACCAGGAAAACAGGTTTAGCTGACTTGACCACAAAAAAACTCATTAACATCATCTGAAAAAGTCCCTTTTCCACATCTATAGGCAATTTGGGAATATAGACCTATATTTTTATAGACCAATCAGCACTTGGTGGGTGATGTGGTCAGCATCACGCTGGCCACCTTTACTTCCCAGGACTGCACATGGTATCCACTCAAGGCTGGGAGTCAAGGTCATGTTTGAAAAAAGACCGGCTCCGTCAGGATGAGAACACACGACCTTTCAATCCGCAGGCGGGCGTCTAACCACCAATGCCATGGTGACTCTGGACATCATCATCATAAGTTTCTTGAAAATAATTTTTTTAATGTTTGTCTAAATATAATTCTACCAACCATGTCTACACACTATGCAGTTGCAACCAGTACTAAAGCTGTTTTATAGGCAGATTTGTCACTGCCCAAAGATGTAGTGTCTTAAAAAACCAGTGAAAGTCAGAAAACTGGCTTTTTTGGGGTGGCAGGGTGAGAAATTGGTCAAACATTTCAGTGAGGTTGCCTTCACAAGGCTGTACCAACTGGCTTGCAGGCCTGTTGACCAGACATTTCCCACCTTTGCTGTTTAGTTTAGTTTATTCTTGAACAATATACAATGTTTCTGAATATGTTTGCATGCTTTTGAAAAATAACTTCATCTTTCAGCCCGGTTAACTTGAATTAGTCTTCTTCCTGCTCTTCTTTCGGAAAATGAAGCTTATTTTATTATCAGACTGGTCTAGATTTATCATGACTTTGGGATTATATGATATTAATTAAATTATTTCATTTGACGCAAACTGTAATGCATTGTTTAAACAGTTTAATGACAACAGAATTTGCATTTTTTGTGTTAATATGGGGCAATTATTTGTGTTTATATGAATGTAGTGTTACGTATGAGCTTGCTTATCAAGATGGTTGTCTGGGTTCACTTCCCAGCTGTGACAAATTACTTTCTCTTAAAAAGACAGATCTACTCAGTCTCATAAAAAGCACTGATCAAACCTGCAGAGCATGTAAAGACTTTGTGAAGTTCTCGTTCTTTTGAAGCTCGTCATCTTCTAATTCTTCTTCCTTTTTGTTGTTGTTGAAGTTATGGGTTTTGGCCTAGTTATGCATATTAAAGGACACTGCCTGATTTCAGACTACATTCGTGTAAGAT